GGTTTTGATAGAAATCATATTTTTCATCATCATTTATATATGGAGCAAGATTTTTTTTTTTTTTACAAATAGTTTATTGTCAAATTAGTTTCTACATAACACGCAGTGCTCATCCCCAAAATGCCCTCCTCCATGCCCATCCCCCCCTCCCCCCCACATCCATCAGTCCTCAGTTTTTGTCAGCATTCAAGAGTTGGAGCAAGATTTTTTAAGCAGAATTTTTAACTTTTGTCTCTTCATTTGGCTTGATTTTTGGAAACATAATGGATATGTAACAAACTGCACATATTACAAGTGCACTACACTAATTTTTGACATACATACACACATGAAATGTGTTCATCACCCCCAAAAGTTTCTTCAAGCAGTTTTGTAACCTCTCTCCTGTTAATTCCTGCTGCCTTTCTCCAACCTAAAACCAAAACAAATATTTATATCCTTTCTGTGACAACAGATCAGTTTGAATTTTCTGGAAATTTACATAGATGGGATCATACAACACGCACTGTGTTTTGTGTTCTCTCTTTCATTCAGCATATTTTGTGATTAATCCACTTTATTGCACATATCCATAGTTTATTCATCTCTATGGCTGAACAGCATTCCATTATATGATTATACCAAAATTTGTTATCCATATACTTGCTGGTGTACATTTGGTTGTTTAGAGATTTTTGCCATTATCAAATAACCTATTGTGAACACTTGCGTATAATTCTTTGCATCTCATGCTTTCATGTTTCTTTTTTTTCCCTAGTTTATTCTCAAGTTGGTTTACATATAACACCCAGTGCTCATCCCCACAAGTGCCCTCCCCCGTGCCCATCACCCCCCTTCCCCTCTCCCCCATTCCCATCAGCCCTTAGTTTGTTCTCAGCATTCAAGAGTCTCTCGTGGTTTGTCTCCCTCCCTCTCCCCAACTATTTTTCCCCTTCTCTCTCATCGTCCTCCGTTAACTTCCTCCTAATCCACCTATATGTACAAGCATATGGTTATTTGTCCTTCTCTGCCTGACTTATTTCGCTCAGCATAACACCCTCTAGTTCCATCCATGTTGCTATAAATGTCCAGATTTCATTCTTTCTCATTGCCATGTAGTATTCCATTGTATACCACATCTTCTTGATTCATTCATCAGTTGATGGACTCTTAGGCTCTTTCCATGTTTTGGCTATTGTTGAGAGTGCTGCTATGAACATTGGGGTACATGTGCCCCTATGATCAGCACTCCTGTGTCCCTTGGGTCAATTCCTAGCAGTGCTACTGCTGAGTCATAGGGGAGTTCTATTGTTAATTTTTTGAGGAACCTCCATACTGTTTTCCAGAGGGCCTGCACCAGTTTGCATTCCCACCAACAGTGTAGGAGGGTGCCCATTTCTCTACATCCTCGCCAACATCTAGAGTCTCCTCATTTGTTCATTTTAGCCACTCTGACTGGCATGAGGTGGTATCTCACTGTGGTTTTGATTTGTATTTTGATTTGATGAGGGACACTGAGCATTGTTTCATGTGTCTGTTGGCCATCTGGATGTTCTCTTTGGAGAAGTGTCTGTTCATGTCTTCTGCCCATTTCTTCACTGGACTATTTGTTTTTTTGGGTGTGGAGTTTGGTGAGTTCCTTACAGATTTTGGATACTATCCCTTTATCTGATATGTCATTTTCAACTATCTTTTCCCATTTCATCAGTTGCCTATTAGTTTTATTGATTGTTTCCTTTGTGGTGCAGAAGCTTTTTATCTTGATGACATCCCAGTAATTCATTTTTGCTCTTGATTCCCTTGCCTTTGGGGATGTGTCAAGTAAGAAATTGCTCAGCTCAGAGCCTGGAGCCTGTTTCAGTCTGTGACTCCCTCTCTCTCTGACCCTCCCCTGCTCACGCTGTCTCTCTCTCTCTCTCTCCTAGAAATAAATTAAAAAAAAAAAATTGCTGCGGTTGAGGTCAAGGAGGTTTTTTCCTGCTTTCTTCTTTAGGGTTTTGATGGTTTCCTGTCTCACATTCAGGTCCTTTATCCATTTTGAGTTTATTTTTGTGTATGGTGTGAGAAAATGATCTAGTTTCATTCCTCTGCATGTTTCTGTCCAGTTCTCCCAGCACCATCTGTTAAAGAAGCTATCTTTTTTCCATTGGATGCTCTTCCCCACTTTGTCAAAAATTAGTTGGCCATACATTTGTGGATCCAATTCTGAGTTCTCTATTCTATTCCATTGTTCTATGTGTCTGTGTTTGTGCCAATACCATACTGTCTTGATGATAACAGCTTTGTAGTAGAGCCTAAAGTCTGGGATGATACCCAGAGTTTTTGATAAATACTCTAAAATTACTATAAAATATTTTCTCTTCCTTATGATTTTCCTTTTAAAAAATATTTTAATGTTTATTTACTTTTGAGAGAGAAAGGTGGGAAGGGACAGAGAGAGAGGGAGACACAGTATTTGAAACAGGCTCCAGGCTCTGAGCTGTCAGCACAGAGCCTGATAAGGGGCTCGAACTCACCAAGCACGAAATCATGACCCAAGCTGAAGTCAGACACTTAACAGACTGAACCACCCAGACACCTCCCTTATGATTTTCTTAATAACATTTTCTTTTCTCTAGCTTACTTCATTGTAACAATACAATGTATAATACATATGACATACAAAGTCTGTGTTCATTGACTGTTTATGTTATCAGTAAGGCTTCTGGTCAAGAAGTGGCTATTAGTAGTTAAGTTTTTTGGGAAGTCAAAAGTTGTTTTCAGCTGCATGGGGGTTGTGCTCCTAACCCCTCAGTGTTCAAGGGTCAACTGAATATATGTCACCTTTGCTTCCTAATTCCTCACTCCCTTAGCCTCCCTCACCAGAGCTTTGATATTTACCCCTAAGACGCTCTTTGCTTTTTCTATTACTGCTGATATCCTCCTGTCCAAGTCTTATTGTCTTTTTTTTTTTCAGTTTCTATTCTTGATGTGTTATATTTAACTCTTTCTGACAACATTTGATTCAACTTGTTTTGAAATCTTCCTCTCCCATTCCATGGTGCCCTTACCTCTATCCACTAATCTTCTCTTTTGGAAGCATAGTTACTGTCTTCCCCAATGTCAGTCAGTCCCACTGTGACCCTTGTCACCTGAGGCCCCGACTTCTGCTGTAGCATCTTCTTCTCCCTGTGATCATTCTCTCCTCTCTGCCCTGTTTCATATCAACATCAGCTGAGTCCCCAGTTTTCATCATTCTTTCATTCATCAAACTATGATGGAGCACTTGTCATATATAGCACTAAAATATCCTAGGGGGAAATCTCCAAAAGATTAAGTCATGCTCCTTCCGTTGGATGAACATACCGGCTAGAGAGGCAGTCACTCTGTCAAAACTGTGGAGGATGTTGTAAGCCACAGTAAGGAGCTGGGACTCCATTGTAAAGCCAATGGAAACCTTTAGAGTCTTAAACAGGAGGTGACTTGATCAAATTGGAGTTTAGAAATATCACTCTTGCAGTGGTGTGGACAAAGGAGTGGGGATGATGGGATCTGGACAAGGAACGTAGCCATGAAGATAAGGAGAAATGGACACATATAAGCTATATTTAAGAAATGGAATCCGCAGAATGTGAGGATGGGGATATTAATGCATTAATTAATATTTCTTTTTTTTAATGTTTTATTTATTTCTAGGAGAGAGGGAGAGAGAGACAGCGTGAGCAGAGGAGGGTCAGAGAGAGAGGGAGTCACAGACTGAAACAGGCTCCAGGCTCTGAGCTGGCAGTCAGCACAGAGCCCGACGCGGGGCTTGAACCCACAAACCGCGAGATCATGACCTAAGCGAAAGTCGGACGCTTAACCGACTAAGCCACCCAGGCGCCCCCATTAATTAATATTTCTAATGGTGACTCTGGCTGATGCTTACAAAGTAGAGAAATAAATATTATAAACAAGAGTATCGACAAAGTTAAAAATAGGGCCTTATATTTTTCCTTTTTTTAGTTTTTATTTATTTTGAGAAAGAGAGAGTGCAAGCATGTGCATTTGTGCGTGTGTGCATGAGTGGCAGAGGGGCAGAGAGTGAGGGAAAGAGAATTTCAAGCTGGCATCGTGCTGACACAGTGCACATTGCCGACATGGGGCTCAAACCCACCAACTGTGAGATCATGACCTCAGCTGAAATCAAGAGTTGTATGCTTAACTGAGCCACCCAGCAGCCCCCAAAATAGGGCCTTTTAAATAGTAAGCTCAATTAATTGGCAATTTTAGTTATGTGCAAAGTTAGGTTACCAGGCACCTTCTTCTGGCTTTTTGGCAAGGCTTTCAGGGTCTCCTTCTGCCTGCCCCACCCACTGCAGCAATGCTCCTTAATCATTTCCCAGCATGACTTTCTGCTCCTGTTCACACATGCCTTGACCAATACTGTCTAAACATGCTTTGACAAAAATTTGATTATTCCCATTTCTCATGGTTACCCCAATATGGAATGTGCCTCATTTCTGGCAGTCTGTGGCTTTTACTTTCTTCCATAAGCCTCTTCAGGTGAATTCCACACTGATTCTCCTCCTTTTCACCTTCTGCACAATAATTGTGCCTATATTATGGAATAAAAGATCTAATGTCAGTAAATACTTAGCTCACTGCCTGGCCCACAGTATTTCAGAAATGGATGCTATTAATATAACCCTGATCCTATTTTATTTTCTGACCTTCTGGAACAGGGCTTCACCCACAGTGGGAGCTCAGTGTGGATAGATGGCATGCCCATTTTATGTTCACCTGATTATAAATTACAATGTTAATTATACAGTGGCAGAAACAGAACTCTTTCTGATTTTAGGAAAAGAGGTAAAACAATCTTATTTTATTCTTATTTTAACTACCATAAATAGCTGACCTGTTTCTGATGCCTGGAAGCTGTTGCATTCTGTAATTAAGATAGTTCTGGAAGTGAAGTAAATCAGTACAGACACCATCAAAAGACCTTTCTAAGATTACTAGTGAATTTCTTACCCTTTGATTCTTCTGCTTTTTAATAGAAAACTGTTTTGGGGGAATCAAGATCCCATTCGCCCTATTTCCCAGATAGCTTTGAAGGCTCAGCTGACCAAAAAACTTGAAGACCTTGCCCATCCCAAGGAAGTCTCCCACCATTATGTACCTAACAGGTTAGTGTTTGCATGTTATCAGGTTACGTTAGTAAGAGTCCATAGGGAAAATGAACACAGAATCTAGCCCTTTTATCTGAAAGCCATAAATTGTCCAAACAATGGTAAAAAATTATTGAGGATTAAGGATTCTATATATTTCCTAATCTGATGCTACAGGAAAACTTGTCCAAAGCAAGACTAATATTTAGCCATTGCAAACTTATATTCTATTTTATAATGTTTTAGCTTACTAGGATTTTGAGTTTCTAATAAAGTGGTAGTATACCCCAGGGTGTGTACCATATATAACATTGTTGTGCATGAACTATTTATGCATGCAACTTTTCATGGATTTTGTATACCACCATGGGCTTGATTACCATGAATTAATTACTACATGTGAAGGTAAGAATATTGTTAAGCCTTTTGATACCCATTGCCAGTTTGCTTTTAATGCATATTTGTTGAATGACTAGGCTTTCTGCTGGTTGGTTCTTTGAGGAAAAACTGTGGAGCAGGGGAGGGAATGAACGCAAGTAGTGAGGGAGGTTAACGTAACAAGAGAAGGTTGAAGATACCAATATTTATCTGAAGTTTGGTTTCCAAGATAATTGATGTGGCCATTTTTCTCTTTTTGATATACAACTTTAGTCAAAAGTCAGTAAACTTTTTCTGGAAGGGGGCAGATAGTAAAGCTGACCATAACATCTCCATCGCAACTACCCAACTCCACTACTGTAGTAGGAAGCAGACACAGATATTATGTAAGCTGAGCATGTCTGTCTTCCAATAAAATTTTAGAATTTTGCATCTATATTTATGAGGGGTATTCATCTGTATTTTTGTTGTGGCATCTTTGTGGTAATGTTGTTTCTTATAATGTCTTTACTCGGTTTTGGAATGCTGTCTTCATAGAATCAATTGGAAAATATATGAAATTGGCATTTCTTGTTTATGTGTTTCATAGAATCCACAGTGAAATCATCTGGGTCTGGAGTTTTTTGGTAGGAAGGTTTTTAACTATAAATTCAATTTATGTAATAGATACAGGGCTGTTATGAATTTGTCAAATTAACACGTTAAATGGAGCTTGGGGCCACAGTTCAACAACAGAGCATAACAGAAATTGAACTAGAAAAGTTTATTACTCACAGATCCTAGAAGAAATACCTAGCATGCCTTGAGGAGTCACATGGGTGGGTTAGGACAGAGTGCAGAGAGAGGCAGGACCTGGGGCACATGTCTTATCAGAACTTTCAGGTGGAGTGCTTTGGGTTTCCCAGGCAAAGGCCAGATTGGTCAGTTCAAACCAAAGAGCAGGGTTTTGGTAAACTGCTTGGAAGTCATATCTAAAGGATGCACAACAGGAAGGCATTGGGCATCAGGTGACAAGGACTGTTGTTGAAGTCCTATCAGGAATGTACATTTACTTATGCCTCCATGGACTGTTATCTAGGGCATATGCTTGTGAGAGGGGCCAGTATGATTTTTTTTTAAATATTTTTTATTTATTTCTAGGAGAGAGAGACAGCATGAGCAGGGGAGGGTCAGAGAGAGAGGGAGTCACAGACTGAAACAGGCTCCAGGCTCTGAGCTGGCAGTCAGCACAGAGCCCGACGCGGGGCTCGAACCCACGAACCCCGAGATCATGACCCAAGTGAAAGTCAGACGCTTAACCGACTAAGCCACCCAGGCCCCCCGGGGCCAGTATGATTTTAAGGTCCCTGGAGGCTGCTTGCCTAAACAAAATGGGTGCTGAGGCAGCAATACCATGGAGGAGCTTAGTTAAACTCCTGACAGAGATATTCAGATTATATCTTTCTGAATGAGCATTGGTAATGTGTATCTTTCAAAGAATGTATCCGTTTCACATAAATTTTAAAATGTGTTGGCATAAAGTTGTTCATATATTCTTTTATTTTCCTTTTACTATCTGTCCAGTCTCTAGTGATTGTCTATGAGAGACTAAGAGAGTATTTGGTTTTAAAAGTAGACAATTTCCTCCTTTCATCAGCATACATTTTGGTCTATTTAGAAGATCCAGTCTGGGATTCCTGAGTGGCTCAATCAGTTAGGTGTCCGACTTCGGCTCAGGTCATGATCTCACAGTTTGTGGGTTCAAGTCCCACATCAAGCTCTGTGCTGACAGCTAGGAGCCTGGAACCTGCTTCAGATTCTATGTCTCCCTCTCTCTCTGCCCCTCTCTCCCTCTTGCTCTCTCTCTTTCTCTAAAATAAATAATAAACATTAAAAAAATAATTTATAAGGTGCAATTTATTTATTACAAAAAATTAATCTGTTTTGGAATGGAATATTAGAAGCTAGCTGAAACCTGATGGCTGAAACTATTTCTGATTTTTTCCTGTGTGGAGAATGGCTCAGCAGTACAGGGGTAAATGATCATACTTGCTCCTAAGTCTAGAGCTGGAGGTTAGTGTTGGAAATTACGAGAATAATTTTAATTCATATTCATTTCACTCTGTTCTTTTCTCTTCTACAACTTTCAGGGCTCAATATTACTACAGCTGTGGTAGAGAGTCTATAATCTGGGAGATCCCTTCTGCTGCATTGTTTAGCCAACCCTCCAAAAGGATCCAGCAGCTGGCACTGCCCAACAGATTCAAGAAAAATTATCTAATAAGCAGGTAAATACCTTGACAATCTCCATAAATTCTAATCTAAATGGTTAAATCTCACAATATTTTACTTATTTTAATCTATGTAGTTTTATGAACTAGAAGTCCACTTATGTTCAAAGAATCAGGGTAAAAGGATCAAATATTTGCAGCAATTGTAGGTAATCAGAAGGTCATCATCAATAATTAGATTTGACTCAAATTGTGAAATTGAAATTGACACTGAATTTACCATTGTTAGCCAATTAAAAGTAAATATGCAAATGAAAAATGACAAGTTTTTGCAATTTATAGAACTTAATATTTCTCTTACACCTCTGTGACTTTTCAAGTGTTGTTCCTTTTGCTTTGAATGCTGAATTTCTGCTTGTCTTTAAAAATTATTTTAAGGGGTGCCTGGGTGGCTCAGTCAGTTAAGCGTCCAACTTTGGCTCAGGTCATGATCTCACGATTGTAGATTTGAGCCCTGCATTGGGCTCTGTGCTGACAGGTAGCTCAGAGCCTGGAGACTGTCTTCGGATTCTGTGTCTCCCTCTCTCTCTGACCCTCCCCTGCTCACGATGTCTCTGTCAATCTCTCAAAAATAAATTAAAAAAAAAAAAAACATTTAAAAAAACGTTTAAAAAAAATAAAATCTTAAAGGGGCTCCTGGGTGGCTCAGTCGGTTAAGCATCCGACTTCAGCTCAGGTCATGATCTCACTGTTAGTGGGCTCGAGCCCCATGTCGGGCTCTGTGCTGACAGCTAGCTCAGAGCCTGGAGCCTGCTTCGGATTCTGTGTCCCCCTCTCTCTCTGACCCTCCCCTGTTCACGCTGCCTGTCTCTCTCTCTCTCAGAAATAAATAAAACCATTAAAAAACTTTTTAAAATTATTTTAATGTTTATTTGTTTTAAATATTTTTTTACATTTATTTATTTTTGAGAGACAGTGAGACAGAGCATGAGCAGGGGAGGAGCAGAGAGAGAAGGAGACACAGAATCCAAAGCAGGCTCCAGGCTCTGAGCAATGTTCAGCACAGAGCCTGACATGGGGCTCAAACCCACAAACCATGAGATCGTGACCTGAGCCGAAGTAGGACGCTCAACCCTCTGAGCTACCCAGGCGCCCCAATGTTTGTTGTTGTTGTTGTTGTTGTTTTTTAGAGAGAGAGAGAGAGTACAAGCAGGGAAGGGGGCAGAGAGAGAGACAGAGACGAAGAATCTGAAGCAGGCTCCAGTCTGCGAGCTTTTAGCATAGGGGCTTGAACCCACAAACTGTGAGATCATGATCTGGGCCAAAGTCAGATGCTCAACCAACCGAGCCACCCAGGTGCCCCACGCCTTGTCTTTAAATTTTTTGGTTCCTGGGTGGCTCAGTCAGTTAAGCATCTGACTCTTGATTTTGGCTCAGATTGTGATCTCATGGTTCATGAGATTGAGCCCTGCATAAGGGGCTTTGCCTGGATCCTGCTTGGGATTCTCTCTCTCCCTCTTTACCCCTCCCCTTCAAAATGAATAAAATAAAGTTAAAAAAATTAAATAAAAGACAGCTTAGGTGATACTTCCACATGGCAGCTAAGTTTGTGATGTGGTTGTTGGAAAAATGCTAGGTTGCATTAATGGAATATATACAGTGTACAGTTATAGGGAGGTGATGGTACTGTATACTATTTAAGTCAAGACATATTAACTCCACGACTTTTGCTGACCTGCCTGCAATGATACTGATATCCAAATGCTTTCCATTTAGTCAATAAAAATTATGCCTAAAAAAAAAGGCATATTAGGTGGATGTGTCCACTTATGGATGTTATACCTTTAGAAACTGATAACAAATTTGAGACTATTCAGAAGGAGCTGAATGAGATTTTGAGGCTTCTGGAAATACGTTACCTAAAAATTAGTTAAGAGAAATGACATGGTTAACTTAGAGAAGAGACCAAGGAAGCAGTGATAGCTGTGTTCAAATATTTGAAGGGTCAGTATCTGAATGAGGAAAAGGAGGTAGAAGTAAAATTAGTTTGTGTTGATCCTAAAACTAGATATAGAACAAGGAATTTACAGAGCACCAGGTGTCAGCTAAGTATAGGAAAATTTTTCTGACTACCTATCCAGTAATGGAAATGTTTATCTGGAAAACTCAACTGCCATCTTTACCCCAATCCCTGAAAGTGTTCGAGCATAAGCTGTAATGAAGACATTACATGAATTTTAGAGAAGATTCTTGCATTTCAGGGAGAGATTGGACTGGGCAGATTGAGTATTTTTCCATCATAGAATCCAACAAAAGAAGCCCAATTCCTCCTACAAAATTTCATTTGCTTATTTATCAGTTCATGCAACAAAATCTGTAGGTTTAGTTAAAATAGGTATGTAATTTTGTAGTTATATATCTATATTTACTTATTTAGTTTTACTTTTGATTTATTTTTTTATATCTGTATTTATAATCCATAGGAATACTTTAATATTCCACTACTTTTTGAGAGACCTGAATTTGATGCTTAAAATAAATGAAACCCCCTTGAATGTTAAAATTTTCTATATTTTTCAAAGTTTGTTTCCCTGCTTTCCTAAGCAGACTTCTTTGCTACTAAACATACATGTAACCTTTGTTCATTGGCTTGAGATAGTTAATATGAACATATATATATGTATATATATATACACACATATGTATGTAATCACATCTTCTTCATTTATCTGTTGATGAACACTTGCTGTTTCCATATTTTTTTTAATTTGTGAGAGAGAGTGTGTGTGTGCATGAGCAGGGGAGAGGGGCAGAGGCACAGGGAGGGGGGGGGAGAGAGAGAGAGAGAGAGAGAGAGAGAGAGAGAGAATCTTAAGTAGACTCCACACTCAGCATAGAGCCTAACGTGGGGCTTGATCCCATGACCCTGGGATCTTGACCAGAGCCAAAGTCAAGAGTTAGATACTTAACCCACTGAGCCATCCAGGTGCCCCTGCTTCCATAATTTTAACTAGCCTCTTTTTTAAATTCTGTGCACTGGAAACAGATAAATAAACTTGTTAGAATCATGTGAGGAGGATAAAAAGCAAGTGTTTAATGAAGACACACCAGGCTCTCCAATAAATGTATTACATGAGCTTGAACTTTGGGACATAGATTTTAGTGATTAACTAGAGGGGCTCAACAGGAGACTTGAGCAGTCAGAAGAAAGAACCAGCAAACTTATACAGGTTAATTGAGATTATCTGAGGTACAGAAAGAAAAAAGAATGAAATAAAATTAACAAATCCTCATGGCCAAGTTAAATTTATCCAGAAATGCAAGAATATGTTGGATTTAACATACTACAACCAATATAATACATCAAATTAACAGAATAAGAAAACCAAAACCACATGATTGTTTCAATAGACTCAGAAAAATCTTTTGACCCAAAATTCAACACACTTACACAATAAAAGTGCTTAATAAACTACATATAGAAGGGGACTTCCTCAAGCTGATAAAGAGCATCTACAAAAAAAACCCACTGCTAACATAATAAATAATGGGGAAAGACTGACTGCTTTCCCCCTAAGATCAGGAATAAGACAAGAATGTCAACTCTTACCACTTATGTTTAACATCTTGGAGGTTCTAGTCAAGGTGCAATTAGGCAAGAAAAAGAAGTAAAAAGCATTCAGGTTGGAAAGGAAAAAGTAAAACTATCTCTACTCATATTTTGCATGATTAGAAAATCTTAAGGAATCCATATTAAAACTATTGGAACTAATAAATGAGTTCAGGAAGGCACAGAGACCAAGAGCAATATACAAAGACAATTGTATTTCCATTAGCAATTACCAATCTGAAAATGAAGGTAGGAAAACAATTCTATTTGCAGTAGCACTAAAAAGAACAAAATAATACACATAATGCAATATTACTCTGCCTTAAAAAGGAAGGAAATTCTGATGCATGTCCCAATTGGATGGACCTTGAGGACATTATGCTAAGTGAAATAAGCCAGTCATAAAAGGACACTGTATGATCCCACTTATATGTGGTACCAACTCTAGTCAAATTTGTAAAGAAAGAAACTGAGATGGTGGTTGGCAGGGACTAAAGGCAGGGTGTAATCAGTTGTTTAATTGGTATAGAGTCATACAAGATGACAAGAGTTCTGGAGATTGGTTGCACAACAATGTGAATGCACTTAACACTACTGTGGGGTCCACTTAAGAATGATTAAGATGGTAAAATTTTACATGTATTTTACTACAATGAAAAATAATAAAACAACAAAAGACTTAACAGAAGAAGTTCAAATTGTTGAAAGAAATTAAAGACATAAATAAATGGAAAGACATTTCCTGTTCATGAATTAGAAGTCTTAATTTTGTCATGATGGTAAATTTTTCCAAATTGATCAACATATTCAGTGTAATCCCTATTGAAAATCTGGCTGCCCTTTTTTGGTAGAAATTGACAATGTGATTCTAAAATTCATATAGAAAAACAATGGACATAGAATAGCAAAAAACTACTGAAAAATAACAAAGTTATTTGAAAACTTATTTAAATGCTACAGTTATCAAGACAGTGTGTTACTGGCATAACACAATAGACATATAGATCTATAGAGTAGGATTGAGGATTCTATTCCTAGGCATATACCCAAGAGAATTGAAAAGCAAATGTTCACACAAAACTTGTACATGAATATTCATAGCAGCATTTCATAATAGCAAAAGAATTGGAAACAACTCAAATGTTTACCATGGATGAATGGATAAACAAAATGTGGTAAATCCATACAGTGGAATATTATTCAGCCATGAAAAGGAATGGTGTACCAATACATGAATCTTGAAAATAAACCAAGTGAAGGAAGTCAGACACAAAAGGCTAGATATTTATGTGATTCCATGTATTTGATGTTTCCAGGATAGGCAAATCCATAGAGACAGAACGTAGATTAATGGTTGGAGGGTGGGGAGGGAAATGAAGTAATAGGAGAAACTATTAATCAGTATGGGGTTTCTCTTTGGGGTGATGAAAACATTCTGAATTTAGATGGTGACACTAGTTACACAACTTTGTTAATATGCTAGAAACCATTGAATTGGATACTTTAAAAAGGTAAATTCTATGGTATGTTAATTTTATATCAATTTTAAAAGCTAAGAGACTCTAGAGGGTAATCATATTATTTATTTGTGGAAAGCTTTTTTCATATTAGATTTGTAGTTTTGTTGCTTGGTAAGTTTTTGTACTAGGAAAGGAATATTTGGGAACAGCCTATGAAAATTGGCCAACTTGCTGGGAGTTATGCCCAGCAGTCTCAAACTATACTGCAGAAGAGACTGGCCATCATAGAGGGGTCCTTGATAGTGACTGGAATTTTTATCTCAGGGATTTAATATGAATTTTTGGTAGGAAGTGAAGTGTTTTTTAAGTCTTAACCCATCAGTGGATTATAAAATTGATTCCAGTTTTTTTTAATGCAATTAAATGGAATTTTAAAAATCAGAATACCTTACTCAGAGCAAACATTGTTTCATGATAATTTTTTTTTTGGATATACCACACACACACACACACACACACACACACACACACATTTACACAGTATAAAATGCAGTTCTTACTGTGGCTCATAGTATAAATGTTTTTAGAAAACACCAGTTAGGTATAAAAAACCTGACTATGAATATGGGAAAAGAAGTTTCTAAGATAGAAACAATATATCTAATTGATCAGAGGTTGATTTACAGCAATGAAAAAATGCAGCTATTTTTCCTCCAATGATTATAATATTTCATGTTCCACTTGGATATAGGACCTACAGTGATTACTTAACAAGAAGTTCTCTTCAAATCTCTGATCCTTCACCCCGTTTATTACAACTCTCAGTAGCCAAAGCCACAAACCCAAACTATGTACCTCCAAAAAAGGTAAGTGGGTCCACGTGAAAGAAACAGTTCCTGATTGATTTTCTAACATGTAACATGTTTATAACTGTAACATGCTGTCCTCTTATTTCTGGGTGTTATCTTCATTTTTTCCCCTGTTTATTTTTCTCTCTCATCAAATGAACTTTTCTAACTACTTCCTCTATGCCTAATTTATCAGCCAGGATTTGATCAGAGAAGCAGAACAGCTATGCAGAATTTAAGCAATTGTGGAAGCTGATAGAGAAGTCTATGGGAGGCTGTTTAGCCAGTTGGAACTTGGGTCTTATTATACACCCAGAAACAATATTAGAGGTAGGTCAGCAGTTACTTGGAAGGTATCTACTTGAGGGCAACTTACTGCAAGTTCTTTTGGCAAGGAGAATCTGAACTCCTCAGGTAGGGGAGGAAGGGCTGATTGTACTGATAAGAAAGGCTCAGCACTATTTAGGGGTTTAAAGCCCCCATATTCACTGGAATCTGCTCATATATCCCCATTCCAATTTTCAAGTTCCTATTCCTTCTCAGTGTTCTCAACTTGAACATAGGAGACCATACAAATTTGATAATTCAATTTGCACTTTAATTCACCCACTCACAGAATTAGGTTTTGAGTTTGGTTTTCAGAATTTTCAGCCCTGTGGCCATAGAATATAAGGATTTCTTTTAGGGAAGTCACAGAAACTTTCTGGTCTCTTACCCAGACCTTAAGGTGGGAGTTTAAAGGCCTGAACCAGTCATTTAAAAAAAAAATTTTTTTTTACATTTATTAATTTTTGAGAGACAGAGCATGAGCTGGGGAGGGGCATAGAGAGAGGAAGACAGAGAATCTGAAGCAGACTCCAGGCTCTGAGCTGTCAGCACAGAGCCTGACACAGGGCTTGAACCCACAGACTGTGAGATCATGACCTGAGCTGAAGTCAGACGCTTAACTGACTGAGCTACCCAGGCGTCCCTGAGCCAGTCATTTTTTAACTTACTTTCCCCAGTGCACCTAGAAACAACTAATCCCACTATACTTCTTTATTTCACTAAAATATTTTCTGGCAGCAGTTGCTTGGTCACCGAAGTCTTGCTTTCTATTAATGATCTCAGGATCATTAGTAACTTTAAATCCAATCAGCTGAAAAAACAAATTATAGATAATCTAGAACCAATACAGAAAACCAATTCTTAAAGTTGAGATTTGGTTATCTGCTGCTTCATTCCAATGCACCCCCAAATTTAGTGGTGTAAAGCAATAAGTATTTTATTACACTCAGGGATTTTATGAATTAGAACTCTCTCAGCTGGAATATTTCTAATGGCTTGGGTGTCTAAAATGGTAGGGGGCTGAAAATTCCTTTATACTTGTCTTAATCGGCATGGGCTACTATAACAAAATACCATAGACTGGATGGCTTAGAAGACATTTATTTCTCACAGTTCTGAAGACAGAGAAGTCCAAGGTCAAGGTGTAGCAGATTCTCTTCTTGATGAAGGTCCTCTTCTTGGTTTGCAAATAGCCACCATCTTGCTGTGTGCTCACATTATTTCTTTGTGTGTGCAAAGAGAAGGAGTTCTTATCTCTCTTCTTATAAGGACACCAATCCCATTATGGGGGTTCTAACCTCATGACTTCATCTAAGCATAATTACCTCCCAAAGGCCCCACCTCCCAGTATTAATACACTGAGGACTAGGACTTCAACATATGAATCTGAGGGGGACATAACCAGTCTGTCTATAACAACATCTGTGTGTGGTGCCTAGGCTGATATGACTTAAATGCTAGACTCAGTTGGAAATATCCACAAGAGCAACTTCTTGTGGCCTCTCCATATAGCTTAGAACTTCTCTCAGCATAGCAGCTGTATTCTGATAAGGGGTATTCTAAAATGGAATGTTTCAAGGGTGAACATGCCAAAAGAACCAGATGGAAGCTGCATGCTTTTTTCTGAGTTGGCCTTGATAGTCACATAATGTCACTACAGTCATACTCTGTTGATTGATGGAGGTACAAGTCTGGCCAGATTCAAGGGGGGGAGGGACACAAACCCCATGTCTCAATGAGAGAAGAATAATTTCAAAGAATTGGTAGCCACTTAAGAAAAGAACTTGCAAATCCAGTGATGTGAGTCTTTTGGTATCCTTGAGCATGGTTTTTGTATACAGAAAAGACTGCTCAGAGGTATGCTCTCGATTTAAATAATTAGTAGTCAATTTTTAAAACTTTAAGTTAAAAATATATTTCTTTCAGGGCACCTGAGTGGCTCATTTGGTTGAGCATCCAACTCCTGCTCAGGTCATAATCTCATGGTTTGTGAGTTTGAGCCCTGCATCAGGCTCAGAGCCTGGAGCCTGCTTCAGATTCTCTGTCTCCATCTCTCTCTACCCCTCCCCCACTCATACTCTGTCTCTCTCAAAAATCAATATTAAAAAATATTTTTCTTTTTTAGGCTTTTAAATTTATTTCATAAGTTTTATTACTCTGTTTATAATTCTAGCAGTTTAACAATAACTTTTAGGAGTCCTGAATAATGTTTGATTTGGTTTCTAAACTTAATCAAATACCTCCAAATAATTTAAATTATACTTATTAATATATTAAATTTGATTTCTTTTATAAGTCTTTTACTTCAACCATCTACATTAACAAACAAAATTTCAAATATTAAATAGCTATTTAAAAATCGACATTAAACTTATAAATATGGTAAACTTAGAATTTTCAGTGTGGTAACAATGACATAAACTTAAGATTTCAACCTAATGTTATAATTTTAAGTCAGATACTCAAATATATGCTTCAGGTTGCAGTTGTAAGGGGATCACTCTAATAGGCCAAATTCTCTTGAATATGCACGTTTGGGGTTTTTTTTTGTTTTTTTTTTGTAAGCTCTACACCCAGTGTGGGGCTTGAACTCATGACCCCAAGATCAAGAGTCACATGCTCCATCAACTGAACCAACCAGGCACCCCCATGTACATGCTTTTTAATTTTAATAATATATACATATTTTTGTTTTTATAATGATTTCTAATTTACTGAAAAGTTGCAAGAATTAACATTTTATTCCATTTGCTTAATCATTCTCTCTCCTCTATGTGGGATGTGTGTATTTAATTTTCCCCCTGAATCATTTTTGAGAGTTACAGATAGCATATACCAATTTTCCTAAATACCTCAATGTGTATTTCCCAAGAACAAAGACATCATCATATGTAACCACAGTACTGTTATCAAAGTGAGGAAGTTTAATTGGTAGATACTGTATCCACTTCATAGTCCATGTCTAAATTTCATCAATTCTAGTACATACTTATTCTTAGTACCAGGTATTAGTTCTATGATTTTGTTTCTCTTAGCTTTTTTGCAGTTAATGCTGAACCTTCCCAAAGTTTAAAAATACACATGCCTATTGGGGCGCCTGGGTGGCTCCGTTGGTTAAGCATCCGACTTCAGCTCACGTTCATAATCTCACGGTTCCTGAGTTGGAACCCATATCAGGCTCTGTGCCAACAGTACAGGGCCTGCTTGGGATTCTCTCCTTCTCTCTCTCTACTCCTCTCCTGTTTGCATGCATGGGCATACACACACACTCTCTCTCAAGATACATAAGTAAACCAAAAAAACAAAAAAAAAAACAAAAACAAAAAAACCCACCACATGCCCACAAAGGAAACCAAGTCACCATCACAGGTACCTGAGGTTATTTGCCACCAGAGACTTTGGATGGATGAACTGTAAAAAAAATCCTTTTTACCTTCTATGAATGTGTTACTGAATCTCTTTTTTATGGTAACTTTGTCAGAGACTACAAACTTAAAAAGAGTTGGTTTCCTAGCTCACTTAGTGCATCCATCATTCTCTCTCTACTTGTAGAAATCTGCAGCTCTTACTTAGACTAATCAAACTGTTTAGATTTTTAAAATCTTTGACTCTTGAGAGATTTTGGCTATGAAATCTCCTATTTTATATTTAGCAGATATCTTTGAGTATTAAACATGTGTACTCTGGATACCTCACATGACTTTGTCTGACTCGCTGTCCTAATTTATGAAGTCATTCTATCAACATGTCTCTTTCCCATCATTCTCAATCTGATTTTTCCTGAGAACAAAAATTGGAGAAGTAAAGTAACTGGATCAAGGGTATGAACACTTTTGAGGTGATTCATTTAGTATCCCAAAATGTGTTCCAACAAAAGTGATTTTGATTTACATATTCACTTGCATTATTTGGGCTTACTTTTGCAGTGGACTCTTGCCAACATTAGACATTATTTATTTTACAAAATATTAATTTTAATAAATACTATCTCATTAGTAAACACTTTAATTTCTCTATTAACAAATTCAGTAGTTCTCAACATTTATTTGCCTATGTATTTTTCTTTTGTAAATTTATCTATTCATGGCTCTGTTTATTTTTCTACTGGTCTGCACATTTTTTTAATTGATTCATAACATTTCCTTACATATTATGGAATATTCATTAAATATAGATATAAAGATATAGATATTGCAATTATCTTTCCTGGCTTATATTTTGAAATTTTGGAGTTATAATTTACATAAAATGCATAGATCTTAAGTGTATAGTTTAATAAGATTTTAGCAAATATATATATCCATTCAATAACCACCTCAATCAAGATACAAAACATTATCCCAAAAAGTTTCTTCCTGATTGTTTCTAGTCCATTGCCCTCTACCCTCTGCCCTAGAGTCAGCCATTTCCAAGTTTCTATCACCATTGGTTAGTAGTATTTCTTATTCTTTGTAAGTTTGTATAAGATTTATATTTTTTCTTCCCCTTAAATATTTGAAAGAATTTATCATCTAAGCAATCTGGGCTAGTATCTGTATTCTCTGTAGGTTTGTACATGATTTATATTATTTCTTTGTCTTAAGTATTTGATAGAATTTACCATTAAAGTAATCTGGGCTTAGTGTCTGTACAATTCCATGAAGTACTAATTAATAATTTCCAATGAATAAAAGTTTGTCAGGTTCTGGGAAAATCAAAGAAATATATGACAACCACTGCTTTCAGTTAAGGCTTACAATTAAAAAAGAAATAAAACCATCACTCATTAATTCAATTCATTAAGCAAATATTTCTAAATTAATTATATTATGTAAGACAAATAAGAATAATAAAACAGTTCCTTTCCTTAAAGTAAATATCAATTTAGAAGAAACCATAGACCTATAGGTAAATAATTAAGATTATTTACTTTATGATACTTGTAAAAGAGAATAAATAAAGTAGTGAGAGGTACTAGAGGAAGAGTGGGAAAATCCAAGAAAAATTCTCTTATTATAGAATTGTACAGACAGATAGGACCTTTGGTTTCAATCACAGTTCTTCAGCTTATTCACTATATAAGCTTAAATAATTTGTTGAACTTCATACAGTACATTAGTTTCCCCATAAATGAAATACAAATAAAAATGATACACCGGGTGAGAAATAAATGAATGAATGAAATGAATGAATGAAATGACAGTAAAACACTCAGCACTAGTATCATCATTGTCTTAAACAACACAAAAAGGGGTTTGGAACATATCTTGTGTATTATTTTTCTGCTCAGTTAAACCTCTATTTTTATTTTCAATTATTAACTGTATTCCTCTTAAAGTCTTGTGGTCAGTTTTGAGTTTGAATACTAGTAACTGAAATAGAAGTAATTTGAATGCATTTCCATAATTAAGATAGTGAGGGAAATCTTGGGGGACTAGCTCAGCATTGTCTATGGAGAATGTGGTTCTGCCTTTCTTCTTGGCTTTGGTTTCTTTTTCTTATCTGTTCCAGTTAATTAGAAGAGAGCCCCTTGAATTCACCTTAAGTATGGGAATTTGTGATAATGTAAGTCCCAATTTCCAAAGGGCAAAAATACTTAAGAACAGGGCCTCCTGGGCGGCTTAGTCGGTTGAGCGTCCAATTGTTGGTTTCGGCTCAGGTCATGATCTCATGTTTTGTGAGTTTGAGCCCCACACAGAGCTCTGTGCTAACAGTGCAGAGCCTGCTTGAGATTCTCTCTCCTTCTCTCTCTCTCTCTCTCTCTGCCCCTCCCCCACTCACTCTCTCTGTCTCAAAAAATAAATAAGCTTAAAAAAATAATTAAGAACAAAGCAGAGATCTCCCTCTTATAGTATTGACACATCATAGGCCTGCGCCTTCCCTCTTGGCCGAGTTTATCATTTCACAAATCAATGTTACCATTTATCTCTTAGTACGTAATGTTGCCATTCCTTCCCCATCTTTAGTTTAACTTTAAGTTTAAAAAGCTGGCTTGGAATTCATACAACCTAGTTGAAAAAAGTAGAAATTGATCATTTCATCTATGATCTTGGGTTACTGCAAGACTCATCCTTTCTTCTGGATTTAAAAAAATTTTTTAACATTTATTTTTGATAGAGAGAGAGACAGAATGCAATGTGGGAGGGGCAGAGAGAGAGAGGGAGACATAAAATCTGTAGCAGGCTCCAGGCTCTGAGCTGTTAGCACAGAGCCCAACGTGGGGCTCAAACCCATGAACTGAAAGATCATGACCTGAGCCCAAATCAGACACTTAACCCACTGAGCCATCCAGGCGCCCCATCCTTTCTGCTGGATTTGCTGAGAATTCTGGTTTAGAGGCCAGATATTCTTTGTACCATGTTTATTATTTGATACTTACAGACAATATTTTATTTATTCCTCCTAGATTGAAACCAAGATTGCAGCTTCTGCCCTGAGTGCTGTTGCAACTCCAAGACTTGTAGACCTTGCCCATCCAAGGATCAAGATAGAGGGTCTGTGCTTTGAAAGAGAAAAATGTGAAATGCCTATCCGTCCTGTAAGACACCACTGCCTTGGCATCCTTCACCTCACTTTTTGATTATTCCTAGGGTGCTGTTTTGCCACTACAAGGCATAGGCCAAAATCATTGGGAAAGAGAATCTTGAAAGAGTAGTCTATGGCATGAAGGAAGACCTAGCTGCAGGATATGTAGAGAGACTGGGGAAAGAAAGTGAAGAGCATGAGCTTTGGAATCAGAGAGATCCTGGCACATTCAGTGGCTTCCCTCCCTCTTCCTCCTTGACACTCCCCTCCATTCATTGTAGTGGCAACTTGGTGTCCAATCCCAGTTGAGATTTCAATAAATATTTAATGATCATGTTGCCAAGGAGGTTGGATAAATTTTACTCACTTTTTAAGAACCTGAGGACTTGATATGGAATTCCATTAGAAGAGAAATCTAGTCTAGAAATCAAAATCCCTCAGACAGGCATCTTGACTTTGCTAACATGACTTGCCTTGTGACCCTTGGGCAAATCACTTTGCTTTCACTTCTTTTGGTATATAAAATGGAGTTACAGGTATCTTTCTTCAGTTGCTAAGATTGTTTGGGAATTTATTAAAATCTCTTTTTAAAAAGTGATGCCACTACAGATAATCATACTTTTAGAACCCAAGATAAGTCTATACCAGTGAAACACAGTCTTTTCAGGGCAATTGAGTGGTGCTTATAGTCCATCCTAATTCTTTTGAATAAGCACTTAAGAGAGAGAATAGGAACTATATGTCATCCTTCCAATTTTACCAATAAAGCAACATAACAGAAAGACAACCACAGATGCAATTTTCAAAGTAAGACCAGGAGGAGTTGATCCATCTGTCAATCAACACATATTCAGCACCAGTTATGTACTTATTCTAGCTTTTGGCAAATATGTGCTTCTTTTAAAACACTTATATTCTAATGGAGAGACACAGACAATAAGTATACCAACAAAGAGCTGAGAGAGCCAAGTCAGATGTTAGTAAGTGCTATAAAGAAGATTAAATAAGTGTACTGTGAAGGAGAGTTATTGGAAAGGTTCATGTATCTTGGACGGTGAGGGAAAATGTCCTTGAGAATGCGATGTTTGAATCTAGAGACTTGAATGTTGAAGAAGCAGCCATGACAAGATTGAGGAAGGAGGATTTCAAGCAGAGGAAGTGGCAAGTGCAAAAAATCCCAACATGGAAAGAGCTGGGCCAGAGGGGCCTCATGTGACAAGGGTCACTGTGATCAAGGTGGGGAGAAGAAGGAGAGGTCAGAGGAATAGGAATAACAGCCAGATCACGTAGGACCTTCAAGGCCACAATAAGGAGTCTAAATGTTATTTATAGCAAAATGGGAACCACTGGAAAGTTTTAAACACTGAGAGTGACATAATCTGACTTGGGATTCGGACGGTTTGTACCTCATGGGATTGTTATGATGATTGAGTGGGAACAATATAGGTGCCCTACTTAGAACACTGTCTAGTCCCCTGAAGTGCACTCATTAAAATGCTCATTCTCTCCCTCAGTAATTGGTAGAGAAGGCTATATCATACAGAGCAAGAATGGAAGCAGAGAGACCAGGGAGGAGTTTGCTCCTGTAATCCAGTAGAGAACCTGTGTTTGATGGTGACTCAATTAGGGAGATAACTGTAAAGAGAGGGAGATGTGAAAATTGAGATCTATTTTTGCATCTTTTTGCTTCTACTATAGGTATCCCGTGCTGCCTTGCTAACCAAAGCAAGCCCTCGAATAATAGCTCTAGCTGAGGCCAAGCCTCTTCATCAAGATTATCTACCTGTCCGTGAGGCCCGTTGGCCAGTATCTTATGCTGCTATCCATTGCAAAATATCTCCCAGACTTCAAGAACTAGCTAATCCAAATACAAGGTATGTCAGTTTAAAGCTAAGATGGGGCAGGAAATCTGGGGGTGTTAGGGAGAGGGAGAAATTGGCCTAATAAGATCAGTGAAAAGAATTGTAGAAATATAAGAAAAGTTCAAAAACATCTCCCTTGATACATTAATTGTGACAAATCTGTGGTTTTACCATAAATTTAAGGCAGCAGTTAAAGGGTTAATGGAGTAGTATTGAAATTTAGATCTAGGAAACAACTCTGTGAGTGTGGATATGGGATTATTTATTTAACATATTGTTAAGTGAAACAAGTTACAAAACAGAGCACAAAATACATTAAAGTTTGTGTAAGAAAATACACATGTGCCATATATTTGCTTGCATGTGCATATAACATCTCAGAAGAGTATGCAAGAGGCTAGTAACAATGGTTACTCATGGGGGCCCGAGGGAACTGGGATAGGAGGAAGATTTATTACTAAGTAGGATTTTATATTTTACCATGTTTTGCATCATAGACCTATTTGAAATAAATAAGAAAATATTTAATAAAGAAGAAATTTCCTCTAATTCTTGTTTACTTCCCAGAAGATTTCTTAATTTGCCTGAACCTCAGTTCATTTGGTTTCCTTCATGAGATAATACCTAAATCCCCCTTTTTATTGTCAGGAGAAACTCAAAAAGTCATAGAAGTCTTCTTGGGGAAGGAATATGTTATGCTTAGGGAGCAGGGAATATGTCAGTTCTTATGTAATAAAATATTTTTAAATTTTTATAAAGTGTTTTGCCTTAAAAAAAATAAATCCCCATAGCAACAAAATGAAACTCACTCTCTGTTCATTGACAAAGGGAAGGGAAGAGTAAGATCAAGTCCTCAGGGTCTACCCCAGTGGCAAAGTTATTATTTGGTAGTAAGGTGCTAAGGGTAGAAACTTCAAAAATTTGATTTCTTCAAGTTCATCAGAGAATTGTTGGACTTATTTTAACATTGGCAAATTACTGAAACTTTTCCAGTGTTAACTTTCTGTGGAAAGAGCAAAGACTTTGGAATCTGATAGATACACGAATCTGGATTTGACCACAGGTCACTTTTATAAATTCCCTGAACCCTCTTGTCCTTATCTGTTTCGTGGGTTGCTTACGAAAATCAAAATGGGATAATATCATAGAGACTAACACATAATAGATGCTTGAGAAATGTTAGTTCCATTTTCTATTCATGTTTTTTCAGGTTGCATTCTTTTCCCCCCATTTTAGGTCTCCTGTGCATATTATATACTATGATCCAAATGTCTTTAAAGTCAAGCCAGCTGCTCTGAAAGCACAGTGTTCTCCAAGGATCCAAGAGTTGGCAGAACCTCTTATGCGTTAAACACAGAAAGCCACGTCAGTCAGACCCAGTTATGTATCTAGAAGATATATTAGGTGACTTAGTTCCCTATTCTGATGCTGTCAGGTTGTATTTCCCCATCCCCTCAAAAACCACACGAGACTTCCAGAGAACACCACTGAGACCATCGATAGCAATTCCTGCCGTTACCTGTAATCATAATTTAGTAGGTTTGGGGACTTAAGCATGCAATAAAAGAGAAGATGAGAGCTTGCCTTATCCGTACTCTATCTCCTCACAAGCATCTTGGCCATCTCATTGCTCTGACTGATCTGAAGAAACACTCTTCCTTCTATTTGCTGGGTTTGTTTTCCCTTTCCTGGAGAGATCTGTATTCCCAGCAACTGATCTCTGCTCAGTCCCTTCTCTAATAAGTCCTTAGAATTGAAATAATTCTTTGTGTTTCTTTTCCAGTCTCCTCCCCTTACCCCCAAAATAACACTGAGATGGTAAAGCCTTTTGGGACAACTTGAAATGCTTTTTCTAATCTTTAGATGAAATTTAGGGAACAGGTTACCTTAAACAATCACATCTGTACCAATCTCTGTTCCTTTACTCATGCTGTGTCATTTATCATGAATGATGGGAAAAAAAGCAAGGTATTTGGTCAGCATTATAATTCCTTGTCAAATTGCATCTTCCCAGAATTTTTTAAATTTAATTGTTTTATTCTCTCTATAGATTAGTATTTTACAAATGAAATTAAGTTTTAAGACATATCTAGATTTACATGAAAATGAACATATTTGAAAACCAATTTTATAGATTGGTGAGTTCTATCTCCAATGTTTGTGTTAAGGAGATAACTAGTGTTATGCAGAGGCACTACCATGTAGTAGTTTTGAACTTGGGTTTTGGAATCAGGCAGATCTGGGTTAGTCTTCTCCATGGATCATTTACCAGGTATGTGATTTTGAACAAATTCCCTAACTTCCTGTGCCTGTTGCTTTGTGTAAAATGGGTTCCTGCTGCATTATTATAATGATTAAATAAGAAAATGATGTAATAAAGTATGAACTGAAAAATTGTTTAAAAATTTAGCTCCTTTTGCCTTCTAAGGGGGGAATGGGATAGTTTATATCACTCGAAAAATAAATATCTTTATGGCTTGATTCATAGAGTGAATGAATGTTTGTTGAGTGTCTTTGCTTTGCAAGGTATTGGAGATAATCATACTAACCCAAACGGATGTGGGCTCTGCTCTCATGGACTCTAACCAATTGAGAGAGATGGATGTCATTCAAAGATTCACAAATAAATGTAAAATTACGGCAGTAGCAAGTGCTATGATGAAGAGGTGAGAATGCTATGAAATAGCAGAATAGAGAACCTTGTCTCCCTCGCAAAGACAAAAGAAGCCTTCTTTAATGAAAGGACAATTGGGCTGAAATCTAAAAATTGAGTAGGGTTAACTAAACAAATAGGGAATAGAAAGTCAATCCAGGTAGGGGGAGCATGTGTTTAGTGGACATTTGTGGATTTGGAGGCCATGCTGCTCCATTTCTCATTCTTCTGGGAAGAACACCCAATTTTCTTTGGGGGAATTACTTTGTCTTCATTGTTAAGCTTTACTGGGACTTGTATTCATAGTGTCCTAGCCAAGGGATGAACATGTGACCTAAACTGGCCAGGCCCACTGAATTGTCCTCTGGGGCTTTGGGTTTTATGTAGAATGGTGCAAGGGGTCAGGGGCATAGTTGGAGCCGATAGTTCCCAGTAGCAGTACCCTGATGAGACTTCGTTTTGTTCCTACCACCCGTGTCCCTGGAGCCACCCTGGCCCTTTACCTATTCCTTTTACTCAGGAGCTACCCATAGCCTTCTAATAAATCCCTTGTGGCAGGTGGATAGATGTGTTGGGAACTGAAAGAAAGCAAATTTGGCTCAAACAGAGAGGGAAAAAAAGGAGTTGTATGATGCAAGAAGAGACAGAAGGATGGGAGCCAGACCATGAAGGGCCTCAGAGGCCGTGTTGAAGACTTTAGTCTTTATCTTAAAATCAATGGGATTCTCTGATATGTTTGCACGTACAGGAGGATTAGGAGGAACTTGACGGAGGAACAAGGGGGAGAAGAAGGGCGGAAATGGTGGGGGAAAGGGAGAGAGGCAAACCATGAGAGACTCTTGAATGCTGACAAAAACTGAGGACTGATGGA